ACTTATGTAGCAACTGCCTTATAAAACTCTGTGTCATCCCACCCTGCTGTGTTTAGAGGGGGAAAAAACACACACAGATAGAATAAATGGGACTAATGAGGAAAACATCAGGCAGTGCAGGCTGCTGCCAATAAATGTTTTACAGGAGCATCTTCAGGCTGAACCCTGCTCCTTGTTTCCCTGTCTGAGCCTGGTGCTACAGATGGGCAGCACACACCTCGCTCTTTGCTCTCAGGGCCATTCAGAGAGACACAGATTTGACTCAACCAATGTTTTAATGGCTCTGCCCAAGCCCTGGAGATCACCATTAGGTTTCTGGCTCGCTGCCCCAGTGCAGGGGATAAAAGCATTCCAGGCTCACCAGCGAGGTTTTCATCAGGGAGGGCTGGGAGGGCTGGGAAGGCACTGGGTTGTGCCTGGGGAAGGTTGGGAAGGCACTGGGTTGTGCCTGGGGAAGGTTGGGAAGGCACTGGGTTGTGCCTCTCCCATTTCCTTGCTGATAAAAACAGAGGGGAGCAGATTGTGTGTCCCAGCATGACAGCATCGCTCATCCCACTTGGAATCACCTGCAAGGTGTCCACAGGCTCCAGAATTCCAGAATCCCACACAGTAGAATCTGACACAGTCCCAGTGTGGTCCACACTAATGAATAACCCCTAATACACACTAATAAATAACTCAAATACACACTAATAATCACAGACCCACTGCTCTCCACTCAGGCTCCACCTTATGAATTCCCAGATTTTCAGATCCTGCCCCTCGTGGTTTCACACAGGATTCCCACTGCCTGATCCCACTGGACAAACACAGAGCTGTGCTGTGCTCTATATGAATTATTCAAATTGCATTTCATCTATCCAAAAAAACAAGAGATCAAAAGTGCTCCCGCTGACTCAGCATGCTGACCCATCCAGCTCAGGAATTTAAGATTAAAGCTCGTTGTTTCACTGAGATGTGGCCCACAAGAGCAGCCAGCCCCAAACCGTGGAGCTCCACACAAATTTGAATCTCTGCCACGGGAATATCAATTCAGTAATTGCTCCCTGGGTCATTAAATGGGCCTCACAAACTAAGACAGACACAGCATATAATCCAAACCTAATCAGAGCAGCACAGGTCAGAGAGCACCATCAGCACGGGCTGGCACTCAGAGTATCTCCACTGGCTGAGAAGCTGGAAAAAAAAACACCTTTGGTATCTGAGATCATGAAACAAAAGTATCACAGAAATCCTTTGCTTTGAACTGACGTCATTAACACCTTCCATGGCTGGTTAATATTTCCATTTTGCAGATGAGCACTGAGTCACAAAGACTTTCCTACGGCCACTGTTAACTCAGTGGCACAAAGGCAGCTGCTGCTTTAAGTGCTCATCCTAGAAAACAAACCCACAATTCCTATTTCTGGCCCAATTTGAAATTAAAATCCTTAACACTCGAAGAACGAACTCCAAGTAAACCAAACATATTTAAAAAAAAAAAAAATCAAATCCAGCAGAAGGGGTTAGACAGCAAAATAAGCTGGTAGGAAAAAAAGGTGCAAAGGGTGAAGTTGTCCAGCCTGTGTGGCTTGGCTTGCAGTGGGTATGTCAATTATACATGCAGATTAGATGCTCAACTAGGTGTGCACAGCAAGAACAACATACAAGTGCTCTGGGGCAGAAGAGACACGTTTGCAGCATCCACTGTCACCAACCCCCAGTCAGAGGATTCCAAGAGACAGGGGCTGGGAAGAAAATCCCTTCTGTTGTGCCTTTTTCCCTTCTTTTTAAATTTTTTTTTCCACTCATCCCACCATTTATTCCTGAATGCTCCCGGTAATTTCAGTGAATTTCCCTTCCTCGTGTCTCAGGATTCCTGGCAGCTCCTCAGGAAGCTGTGCAGAAGCACTGAAATCCAATCCCCTCCCCACTAATTTCCCATTAACTCGGCTCCCACTGCAGTGCTGAGAGGACACTGCTGATTTATGGGTGACTCTCAGAGGAGGAAGTGGAACAGCACCTTCAGCATCTCTCTCTCTCTCTCTCTCTCCCTCCCTCCAACACGTTTGTGCCGGGAAATAAAAGGCTCCCACCCCAATCTCACATAAAAGGCTCCCACCCCAGTCTCGTGTGGAGCTGCCAGGGTGACATCACACATGGTACCACCGCAGCACCAGCCAATTGGGGAGGGCCCTGGCGCTCACCTAGAGCAGGGAAGCCTATAGGAACCTGCTCCGTGTGGGAAAGGACCCCCTCTTCTGCCCGTGCTTATCTTGCCACTCCTCCTCCGTCCCCCCTTCCCACTGCAGCCCCATCCACACTCACATCACACACACAGCACAGATCACAGATCACAGCCCAGGCAGGACCACCCTGCCCAGCCCCAGCCCGTGTGCCTGCCTGTCAGACTTTTGGCTCTGATTCCCTCAAGAGCTTCCTGCTGCTGCTGGAGATCCCTGTTCCTGTTCCTCGATTTTCACCGATGGTTTTAACCCCTTGTTGTGCCGCTGTAGCCCACAGGCTTTGTTGTTTCTGTCCCAAACACGTTTAACAGCAGCCCAGCCAGCCCTGTGAAAGGACAGCAGGGCACTGAAAGCCAGGGCTCAACAGCCTCAAGGGGAGGTCCAGGTTGGACATCAGGAGGAATTCCTTCATGGAAAGTGTTGTTAAACATTGGAAGGGGCTGCCCTGGGAGGGAATGAAGTCTTCACCCCTGGAGGTGTCCAAGGAACAGCTGGATGTGGCACTCAGGGCTCTGGGGAGGATCAGCCACAGGTTGGACCTGATGGTCTGGGAGGGCTTTTCCAACCTCAGTGATTCCACGATGCTGTGATTCCGTGTTCTGCTTTTCCCTGGATAACTGGGAATTAACTAACTCTCAGCACAGAGAAACCAAGCCCAACATCAGACCAGGGCAAACTGCAGTGCTACAAATCAGGACTTTCAAGTGCCTTCTATGTTCCCACCACATCCAGCCCCTGCAGCTCCTGTCTAGGAGGAGACACAAGAAGCTGTTTGGGAGCTGAAGCTATCAAAGTAATTTATAGGGATTTTTATTTCACCTTCATCACAAGAATATCTGAGCTCTGTGTAACTCTCACACACTACAAGGCTTTAATTCTGACTTTGCTAAGATAAAGCTGAAAAATCCACCTCCGGGTCCATCTTGCTCTTCCTGGCTCTTGACAGGAACTTTTTGTTCCCACCTTATCAGCATTTACAAAAAAGTATCTGTATTTTCACAAAGATTTCCTGCAACTGGAGCTGACTGGATAAGCCCAGGAGCAGGAACACCCCGTTCCTGCCCAGCCCACAGGGGCAGAGGCTCCTTCAGACCTCCCTGCTGGGGGATGGAAACCGAGCTCCAAGAACCTGGGTGTCATCCAGCACCACTGGGAGGGAACACTGCCCACAGAGCACCCTCAGGCCCTCAGCAGGGACACCTTCCACTAGCCCAGGTTGCTCCAAGCTGGCCTTGGACACTTCCAGGGATGGGACAGCCAGAGCTGCTCTGGGAATTCCATCCCAGCCCCTCCCCACCCTCACAAGAAGGAATTCCTTCCCAGTGTCCCATGTTACTCTACTCTCCTTCAGCTCCAAGCCATTAAGAGCACTTTAAGCTGTAGGACTGTTCTTTTTTGTTATATACACCAAAAAAAGGTATTTTCTGGCCTTAAAACTCACTGATTTCTCCTTGGGCAACAACGAGCCAGTCAAGCAAAACTGCACCGCTACAGAAGCCTCTCCACACCAACTCCCCAGTCTTAGCAGGGAAGTGTTAGGAAACAGTTCTTTAAAATAGAAATAGTTCTTTAAAATAGAAAATGCCTCTTCCCATCCTCTCAGCTTCCTGGCAGCAGCTCAAGGAGTTAAGTCATGTTTGGTGTCCCTGATGGCAAAGCTCCCCTCGCTCTCCCCCTAATGTCGGGACTAAGCCTGGCTGAGCGAGCCGAGCTCAACCACAGGGAAGGGGAACCCCTTTGGCTTTCCCCTTCCCATGTGCATCATTTGGGCTGCAGGAGGTTTTTCAGGAGGACTTTAAAGTTTCAGCGTTGTTTTTAAAGTGCTGGTTGAACTGCAGGGCCCGGCTGAGGAATCCTCGTGGTTTGTTTTGGGTAAGTACCAGGCAAAGATCCCACAAACACTCTTCATTTTTAGAGAGACTTCTCACCTGTGTGCTCAACACAAATGTATAAATAATGCTTTGACAGTGAAACAATTCAAATTCTGATTTTTTTCCTTGCAGTCAAGCTTAAAACCAGAGTGTAAGCAGGACACAACATCCCATCAGTAACACGGGAATAGTGAACTTTAACACCCTGCACCTGGAGATTTCCCCCCAGTCCAGGCAGAAAAGGAACTTTCCCAGAATTTAAGGGGAAATAAAACTTCTTGGTGCTGGTTGCAGAGACACCACAGAGCTCATCTACCCACCTACAACAGATGATCAACTGAGCTGCTCTAAATTAAACACACAAATAAATCCCTTTTCTTCAGCCTTTACTTGAACACTCCTGTACTGGAATGAAAAGAAACTTGAAGAGTCCTCAACTCCATCAAAACGTGATTTATAATAATAATAATAACAATCTCAGTGCAGGGAAACTGCTGCCTTATGCAGTATTATCTTGTATTTATTGTTAATTAGGCTTTGAAGCACAGAATGGATTTTTGTCCCTGCAAACCCACTAAATAAATGGGTTTATCTCAGTTGGCTGCAAAGGAAGAACCTGCTCAGCACCCCCCACAAGCCCTACTCAAAATTCATGCCTAAGTCCCAGACGTTGAAACTTTCTGAAAGTAGGGTTTATAATTTTATCTTATTCCTATGAAAAAATAATACCAAAAAAATGCCATTTTCACAAAGTTCTGGATGTAAACATTAAAAAAATATGAGAGAGTAATTCAACTGGGCAGCAACAGGATCAGAATGGGGAAATTTCCTACCAGGAATGAAGAAGTCTCCTCGTGATCCTCCAGGTAAACAACCCCTTGAACCAAGAACATGGAGCCAGATGAACAATCAGGGTTTGTGTCCCTTACTCTTTAATCTGCAAATTTAACAGAATGAGGGGAACAGAAGAGAAATACAAGGGGTACAACAGAGTCCACCAGTTACACAGAATCTCACCAATCCCACTTTACATTTCATTTGCCACTGGAATATTTTTGTTTCCAGACTTTTCCTGGGCAAGGGGAATATTTTTATGAAGTGCTTCAGGTCACTAAAAATAATAATAATAATAAAAAACCAAACAAACCCAAGCAATCTTTCCAAAAAAAAAAAAAAGATTCCCAGTCTCTAAACAGCAGCTTTTTGGAACATAAAACATGATACAAAACTATCCTGTAAAAAAAAACCAACAAGGGAAAAGAAGAGAAAGAAAAACCCAGGGAGGTGCAGCACGAAGCGATTTCAGACAAGCGTTTTTTTTTTTTTGTGAGAGCTTTTTAATGGCACAAAATGTTCATAATAAGCTACAACTTATACATGTAAACTGTAGATAATGTTACAAAGTGCTAACTAATTTATGAAGAATGCATAATCACTTTGGCTCAGTTAACTCCAATATCTCAATTAAAAAACAACAACAACAACAAAAAGAAAAAAAGAATGGCTAACAATCTTCAGCTTTTCACTTGTGGAAACGGTTAAGTAGAGATGCCACTTGCTGCAGTTAGGTCAGCCTGCTGAGCTTCTCGTGTGTGTGCGAGTTTATGCGGTTTGTTTTGTTTTGTTTCTTGATCCTATTTACAAATAGTCGAGGCCAGGTAAGAAAAAAACGAAGCCGAACTCGGTGTGGTTTTTTTTGTAGCTTTTTTTTGTTTTTAAAGTTTTTTCCAAAACTGTAAACAGGTATAAAGCTTCTTTTTTTTTTTCTTTTTTTCTTTTTTTTTTTTTTTTAAAACAACATTTATCTTAACAAAACTTCCAACTGTGGGGAGTTGAACCCCCCCTTTTTTTTTTCTTCAAACGATGCAACAACGATCTGTTGCTGTTCGTTGTAAAACTCCCAAGTTGGGGCCTTTCCTCCAGAGCTTATTTATTTGTCAGTAAATACTGCAGTGTGTCCCAGCGAGTGTTACAGTGACCTCAGCTCTAGTTTGCACAATTTATACTTCTTTTTTGGGGTTGATACTCCAGCCACAAGCTTGCAATGTTATTTAGCAGACAGCCTGAAGAATTAATTCACAAATGGTGTTGTTTTTTTTTTTTTTCTCTTTAAAAAGTACTCCCTGCTTAGTAAAAATCTGGTTTTCCCACTACTCCAATTTCCGTACAAAACAAGGTGCTGTGTTAGAACTGAAAGGGTTTCAGCCTTTCTGCCCTCCCCTGGTTTTTAGGGCTGTAAAAACGAAGTGCTTGGTGCTCTCTAAAACACTTCCCCCCTTCCCTCCCCCACCTCTGGGTGAAACCCAATCTCCAGCCTGGAACAAATACACACTTGGAGGCAACTCAAGTGCCACTAAAAGGAAAAAAAAAAACAAACCAAAAAAAGCAGATTATTCCAGAGAATTTGTTGTTAGGCTGCCCTGTCACCCCCAAAGCATTGTCTGACAGCATTCAGAAATAGAGAATAAAGAGAAATACACTTTAGCAGTGGGTTCATACTTCACTTTTTTTACTTCCTGGGAGCTAACTAAGTTTTTTTTTTTGTAAACCACATCTCAGCTGGGCTTTAGCTTCTACGCATCAACTGGTTCAAGCAATCACTGCTCTATCAAAGAATCAACTTATTATAAAGTCTGATGCAAGCAAACAATTAAAGGTAGCTGTTCTCTCCAAACTGGCTGACTAGATTTCTTTAATCTTCTACAAATCAGCCAACTAAAGTTTTTCATTTCATTTTTTTGCTAGTCTTAAAATTAGCATTGGTTCCCTAAATACTTAGTATTAAAGTCTATATCATATTTTTTTTTTTTTTTGATATATTCATATATATATATATAAAAAGAGAAGTATTCTATCCTCCAGAGTCATGCTACATGTCCTGAACTCCAATAAAATCTGTTTAAGGACACGAGTGTCCCGATGCTTTGTAACAATTTGGTACTAAAGCTTCACATTTTGAAAAGAAGTGTCACCCAAGGAGGACAAGGCTTAATCATGTTCCCTAAGATAAAAGTTCAACGACATCAGTGAGGGTCTACCTAAGATGAGACACCACGAGTGACTTTCAGGTTTCCAAGTATCCCCAAAAAGGAGATTGTACAGTAAACAACGAGAGGAGATATCGGAAAAAAATTCATCTGCAGAAGACATTCCAGAGCTCCCCGACTTCTGAACCTTTCATGCAACCTTGCAGGATTGTCCCCCTTCGTGAGAAAGCAAAAAACGAGAAATCAAACGTTTTCTCGCTGGAACTGCCATTTCATCTGGGTTGTAAATGGTTCCACAACAAACAAGAGTCATTTCCTTTAACACATAACTACACCTACAGCTGTTGGGTTTTTGCCTTAATTCGAAACTACTTTTCAAAGGAAAATTCCACATTTAAAATTTCCCCTTAAGAAAACAGGTTAAGGAAACGGAAAAAAAAAAAAAAAAAAAATAAAGTCTTCTTCACATGCAAACAACGCAATTTTTTTTTTTCCTTTTTTTTTTCCTAATATTTTTTTTCTAGGTATCAGACAGGTTTTTTTTTCCTACGAGGAACAAGGAGCCGACTCCATAGAAAAGACGAGATTACAACAATCACCTAATATTAAAATATGCCGATGGATTTAGCTGTCCTACTCGCAAATTGACGCAGTCTCTTTTGCCTCCTGCGAATCAAAGGGTGCCCGTGAGCCAATACAAGGGGCCAGAGTGAACCGGGGTTTTATTGCCAGTGATTTCTTAAGTTTTTTTGTGTTTTTTTTTTTATTCCACAACCAGCTGGGAACAACTCTTTGCCACCTCAATCAGCCAACTTCCTCGCAGAGAGGCTGTGCCATCACCAACGCTCCCAGGAGTCAGGAGAGGAGGGGAACTTGCTGGTGGCGATTTGGCGCGGAGAGAGAAGCCCTTGCAACAACGGGAGACACGTCGGGAACTTCCCCGCTCGCCGAGCGGGCCCTGCAGGCCAGGGGGGCACGGGGGGGACAGGGGACAGCCAAACACCTCGAGAGTCCCACCCCACAGCCAGGCCCGGGGAGGGGAGGGCGGGGCAGGGCATGCTCGGGGTGGGCTCGGCGGGCTCGAGGAGCCAGCGGGGCCTCAGTAGGTGCTGGCGGAGGGGCTGGTCAGGCGCTTCCCGATGTAGATGCTGCAAGAGAAAAAACACAGGGAGTGGTTTTGATCCCGGGAATGATCCCTGGGATGGGGATTTTTTACTGATTTGCTGGGTTTGGTGATTATTTAGGTTTGTATTTTTAAGGCTGAAGCGAAAGAAAATTTAAATTTAATTAGTTTATATTGTACAGGTATGTATTTCTGTATTTAGACACTTTATATATTTACACATATTATTATATATTATATCTTTTATATATTTATATATTTTATATATTTATATGCAATACAGAAATATGCAATTACATATTCAATATTATAAATATAAATATTTATATTTATATAATAATATATAAATATAATAATATAAATATAATACAAATAAATATTTTATTTGTATATATTTATATGTTGTATATTATAATAGATCGTCAACAATATAATGTATTTATATATATTTTATTTTTATATTTATACATTATATTATCCTAGATTATCAATATAATACTTCAATAAATGTATGCATTTATATATTTATACATGGTGTATAATATAACATATTATCAATAATATATTATGTTATCATTTACTAACATAACTTTATACTACCTCGAGTGAGGGGCAACAATCTGCCCTAGAAAAAGCCCTTTCCAGCAGGACCTGACCAAAAGCAAAGCCACAGGCAAAAGTTGAAGGGAGAATTAGCTCGATACTTACCCTAATCCCAGAGCCAAAACATGAGATATGAAGAGAGATGGAATGAAAACCTTAAGAAACTCTGCGGAGAAAATGCCACCTTTTTTCATTGCTCCACTTTTTCTCATACTTAGAGACACTGAACGTTTGGGATGTCTGAAATGGAATTCCCTGGAAGAAGGGGGGGGGGGGAGAGAAATTCAACAAAATTCTTTTTATTTTCTTATATATTTTTTTGCACAGATCTTTGTAGGAACATTTTTATGGGGTTTTTTTTTTGGTTTTTTTTTTTTTGTTTTTAAAGTACAAAGAGCTAGAGATCAAAGATCCCTTACAGAGAGCAAGGAATCAAAGAGAATTATAGGAGGGATTGTGGAGAGACCACTTACACAGACAGTATAGACACAAAGGGAGCAGGAGCTGAAGAGAGAGGTAGGTCCGAGAGAGGGAATTTCAGGATGTGATTTGTTAGCAAGAGCCTCATTTTTTGTTCCCAACAGAGATACAGAAGTCTCTATTTTAATAAAAGAGCTTTGCACTCAAGGATCTCAAGGTTTCCCCTTCCGTGGATGAACATTACATATTTTACATAGAAAGAGAAAAAGGGACAGAGAATTTAGGAGACTTGCTCAGCACTCTTCCACTCAAAAAGCCAAAACTAAATCCCATGAATCCCAGCTCCAAGCACCCAGCTCTCCCAATAACTGCAATTTTGTCAAGAAACCCTGTAATCAGCTTGCTGTGGATTTATGTTACTTTCAAATAATTCCGTTGCTATTAAGATTTTCACACTCCATTGTTTTGATTTTTTTGCACCTTCTCCAAAGAGAAATCGATCTTTCCCTAAAGTGAACATGTCTGGAAAGCCAGAGTAACTCCTCTCCTTCCTCTATTAATTAGAAAGTATTAATATTCATTAAGAAAAGCAGAGTTTAACTCACTTGGGAGGAATGTTTTCAGGCCTACTTGACCAGTCTGACACCCAGTCTGCACTTTTCTTCAAAACTTCCAATTCTTTCTCTCCTTCTGCTGCTTCTTCTTCGGACTGAAAACACACAAGGGACAAGCCTTTTAACACTCAATTAGCTCCTCCTCGGGGTGTTGAACTGAGAGTGACAATAACAGTGGTAAAATGATAAGAACCAAATGGTGGCACCTGATAAACCACCAAGTGTTCCTGGACTGCTGATTGTAGAGAAGAGATTTTGTTTTGCTAACACAGAGTCAGTAAACCACAAATTTTTATTGCTACATCCAGGATTTCCACATCATTGCAAGCTCTTTGTTTAACAACAACAACAACAAAAAAAGGATTATTTTACCCCTAAATAAAGCAGAACTATGCAAAAAACCAAATTATTTATACATGGAAAAAAACATTGGGTGGATGGCATTCCATTTCAAGCTCACAGAACATGCCTGAAGCACAGAAAGTCCAATAAAAAGGTTTCAAAACCAGTATTTTGACTTTTTAAACGGTGCTATTAGTAATTTGGAATTTATATCACTTGCAACTAGCAGCTGGTGCTGAATGCAGTAGGAGAAGGCAAGCACTCACTATAATTACATGATCCAAACTTTTAAATCATTAGATGCAAATGTTACCACGTAGGGAAAAACAATAAATTAAGACAGACTTTGGCACAAACTCCTCCTTAGTATGAAAACAATTGGCTGAGTGACTCTTATTAAAAGAAGATAAACCACTTACAACATTAAGTGGGAAGCACAGCAAAAGCAGGAGTGCCCAACTAGGACAGTCACAAGTGAGATGCAGAGCTCACCAACACCTTCCTTCGGCTCGTTCTGGCTCTCAGGGCAGAACTGCACCAGTCCCAGCTCTTTGACAGAATTAAATGCAAGGTTTCACTCTTCCAGGAATGCTTTTTATTTGTACTGCTGAAGACAGCAAATTCTGTGACACGATCAGACTAAGAGTTGGGCATTGGTCTGCTCTCAGTTGTGGGGTGGAGATTACTCACTGTCATGTGAGGGAGTGCACAGCAATCACTGAACACCCTCCAGTCTTGGGCACAACTATCAACATTTAAGCCCAGGTGTGACAGCCGGTGTTACACAGTAACAGGACTGCTGGGAAAAAGCATTTCTCAGCTGCACAGATGGAGCCTTGTTCTCCCCCTCACTCCAAAGCTACTCATCTCTAAGTCAGATTTGAAATAACACCAAATATAAGTCTTTTCACATCACAAAGGCCTTGCTCTACCCCTCGAGTCTACCTCGAACATCTACAACTTACAAACATACATTGAAAAGTGAACACGTTTTAGAAGTTAATGAAGAGAATACCTGAGAACTACTGTCTTTACTTGTGTGCATTTCCACATCAAAAGTTATCTGTCCATCATCTTGAGGTGAAGGGCTGGAGAAAAATTGATTTCGTTATGTCATTTTGCCAACTAAAGAACCATCACTTTGCCAACTGAAGAATCATTATGTAGATAAATGCCAGCTGAGTCATTCCCACATGCACCTCTGCTCAGTGCTGAGTTACAGACCACCCTTCACCCCCCAAACACCAGCATTAGAAAGTCTTCCAACATCCCCCACACACCTTTGCAGGTTTTTTGATCTTTACAATCCTACCTTTCTCAACAGACCGAAGGAAAGCAAGCACTGCCCAAAATTCCAACATCCACAGAAAAGCTGCAAATCCCTTCGTCCTTTTAGGGCACACTGTGAATTATACCTCTTTTTGTGGATGTGGGAATACCACAGTTACCATAAATTCCTTGGAATGCTGGAGCACAACCAACATCCCCCTGAGAAAAAGCTTCACGGCCACGGGACCAAAGGGATAAGGAACTGCTGGCAGAGCAGCAAACACTCCTTTACCTGTCACAGTGGGAACTACCTCTTGAGCTGCTCTGTCCTGACTCGTGCTGGGCATCCAGCAGGATCTTCTCCATGTCCCCATTGTGGATGGAGGAGGAGGAAGGGACGTGCTCCAGGCCCCCGTTCTTGCCGTTGCCGTTGTCGGTGCTGTTGCCGTTGCCGTTCATCTGCAGCTCCACCCAGGAACCTGCGGGGCACCCAAAGGTCACCTCGTGAACCAAACCCATCTCGGCTTTATCACCCCCCTGCCAGAGGGAAGCAGGGCCATGCTGAGCTCAGATAACACACGCTGCCCTCACGGAGCTCATCAGCACGTGCCAGACACAAGAGGGACAGGTCTCTTCCTCTCTCATCAACAAACACACCCCAATGGGCTGTTTGGGTGCTTCCAACCGCTGGAGCTGGTCAACAAAATGTGCCCTCTCTCCTCAGTTGTTAATACCTTCATCAGCCATGGTTTTTGGAGCTGCAGTTATCTACATATCACTCCATTAAGTCAGCCCACTCCCCTGTTCTGTCACTAAATTTTCATCCCCATGTGCAGCTTTACATTCTCCTTCCTCTGCTCCCCAAGGCCCTGAATCAACCCCTGTTTTTTTATGTTCATCACTGCCACTCTCAGGCCTCGAGTCAGTTTGCTTTGCCCTGGCCCAAACATGTCCTGTTCCACCATCACATTAACTCCACTCCCCCATTCCAACCATGGGAATCCCAAGGAAGGGGTTATTTCCTCACCCAGCTGAAGGACAAGCACAGCAACATGACATTAAAATACTTCACTGCTAATAAGAATTGAGGAGCATCAGAAATCCACCACTCCCACACGTCATAACTGTTAATAAATTCCAAGCCACCACTGCAGCCTCTTCCACCTGCCCCTTTCTTTTTATTTTCCTGAGCCAGGGAAAGCTAGATAACCTAAAAGCTCAGATTTACTGGTTTTCCCCTTTTATTTTAGCTATACCTATGGAGCATCCACGTGAGATTCAACAAGGAGCAAGAGTGTATGGTGGATGACCAGAGCATTCTATTATATCCATTCAAAAGAACATTATTTCCCTCATCAGTCAAATAATGATTTCATACATGTATATTAAGTCATCACAACTCCTATGTAATTCAATTTATGCCACCTAAAGGCAGATGCTTTCAGAGTTGGGGGACTTTTTTGTATTTGGTTGAGCATTTAATTTTTTAAAGTTTGGAAATCTTCATTACTGAGGTAAAAACCATCAAGAAAAAAACAAGCCTAAAGATACAACAACTCAAACAACTTTTTAATCATTATTTGTACAAGTTACAATTTTAACACTGATCTTTGACTTATGCATGATGCCATTACACTGCTGACCATGCTCTGAGCAGTCCTGGTGGTTCACAGCCTGGTTTCCCCAGGCTGTATCCACAAACAGGGAATTTTGGGAGTGCACAGTCAAGCTCTGGGCTTTTCAGATAATCAAGTGTTAACTGGGAAGAGGCAGCTTTGCCCAGTCAGCATCACCCAGAGACCTTGTTATTCCACATTCATGATGAAGGCTGGTGTCTAAATTTCAAAATAAAAAGGCCAACCTAGAATCAGGAAGGTTGATTTGCACCTCCACAGCAAGAAAAACACCTGCACACCTGCAGAAAAGCAGGCTGGTCAGAAGTCAGGTCAAAAAAGCTCTGTGCTCCCCACAAACATTTTGGGGCAGGGAGCACCCACTGGGAGAATTAAAATGCTCAGGGTCTGGAAAACCATCTAGGATTAAAAGTGAGCAGTGAGGATAAATAACGTGAGAAAACAGAGGGCAAAGGAAGATGATCAGAAAGTGGTCACTGCTGCTGTTCAGACCCCCCACAGCCCCTCAGATCCTGCCCAAATCAACCCTTTCGGGATTTCTCCCCCCCTGCCTTTATCTAAAGCACCCCATGGCAGGAAGCAAACCCAAATTACCCAGTGAGTAAAGAGTGCCAGGGAGCAGGAGGAGCCCACATGAGGAGCAGCACGTTCCCAGCTGACCTCACTGGGAATGACTCAAAATCCATTCAAGGAAGGCCAATCTGCCATCGGGCTCAAACACGCTCCTACTTCCACTGGCACTCAACTGCTCTGGGAGAGGGAGCCAGAGAGCCCCAGCAGCCTCAAAGGCTCAGGAGAGGGACACAAATCCCTGTTCCTTTAAAAGGATAGGCAGGAATGTATTAAAAAAAAACAAAAACCAAACAACTTTTATATGAATGGTATTTTTCTCCGAATTTTGTCTATGCTCCATGGCTAATCATTTCACTATGAACTGACTTAATTCCATGTTTCTTCTCTAACTGGTGACCTGTTTAAACAACAGGAGCTAAACGTGCTGGGGCAAAAGGGTCTCACTGTGTTTATCCCTCTGTGATTTCACTTGGGTGGGTGTGGTGGATGTATCAGCAATTATATTCCTGTATACATTTCAGACATATAAAAGAATTCCAAAAGCTCACAAGAAGTCTGATGCATGGTCAACCTGAACAAACTTACAAATATCACTTTTACAGTGAAGTAGAACATGAAGAAAAAACAAAGAAACAAAAAAAAAGAGGGAAAGAAAAAGAAAGCCAACCAGACTCCCATAATGGTAATTATTAAACAGATTTTCCATGACAGAGATAGATGAGCTCTTGCCTATGATAGCATTTCTTCTTCTTGTCAATATGTAACAGAGTTTTATAATAATTAAAATACAGGAAGCATCTAGAACTCCAAGAACAAGCAGGTTTTTCCCCTCCCTCTGTGAACCCAACAAAGCACAGGTTACCAGTTTTATTCCCAGCCCTCCTGCCCTCCGAGTGCTAAGGGATCTCTGGATAAAAGGCCCCAAACACGCACAAATGACAGGGGGAGCACAAAATGAATAGGTGTCTGAGCTCATTAGCCTGAAAAGGGTCACTGAAGAGCTGAGATAATGGCAGAGAGCACTGCCACCAGAGCACTGTGCAGTGGCTGCACATCTGAAAGCAGCACTGAGCCCGCGTGGGGCTGGTGTGGGGGGCACAGACCGTCCAACCTTTTCAAACCTTTCCTTGTGCCCACCCCTCCAGCAAATCGCTGAGCTGGGGGAGCCTCCCAGGCTGATCCAGCAGCGAGATCTCCGTGGGCAGATCCAGCCCCGGCTTACAGAGCTCTTGCTGCTCCCACCTCCCAGCAGATTAACGTGTCCCACACCAGCAGAAAGGAAACATTAAATCACAGAAGCCTCGAACGCGGCAATTCCTCAAGCACGTCGCGCCTTTGACAGAGAGAGATTGTTATCCGGGCATAACAGGCCTGAATAATTTTGCCAGAATTACCCTGTTTGGCTCGGGGAACACCGTCCGAGCTGCCCCGGTTCTCAGGAGATGCCACAGCACAATGGCAGCGTTACGAAACGGGCACACTTTTATTCCCCCTTCGCACAATCGCCCCCTGAGTTACGGGAAAATCAACCAAACCCCGCGCATTTCGCGGTCAGCTTAACTCCACTGTAAACCACGGAGGTAACAGTTAATCATTAATGCTATTTATTCACCCCTTCGAGTGCAGTATTCTTTATAACCAGACGGAAGGACACACGGAAAGAGCCGTTTAAAAAGAAGGAAAGCATCCGCCAAGCAAGTGGCAGAAGCCTACATGATGTGCCTCGCTGGAGTTATCCCGGGAACAAAAGGATGCAGCAGAGCAGCTGACAGAGACGCCGGATATAGAGGGGAACAGCTCACGTCAGTGCTATTGACTCAGCCACTGAATAAACTCATTCCCACAGCCGCGCTCCTCCCCCTTACCCCGCTGTATCCCCATCTTCGCTGCTCGGGTAAACTCCGCGGGGCTCGCTCGGGGTACGAGAGGGGGGTCTCGCTCCCCCTCACAGCCCGCCGTGAGGGGTCGGTCGGGCCGCCCCTCCCTCAAACCCGCTTTAACCGCCCCAGTAAGAACCGCGAGGCCCCTCCGCTTTGCCGGGCCGCGCATCCGGCGGCCCCGCAGGCCAAGAGTCGGGGACGGCTCCGGGGATCCCTCAGAGCCCTCCGGGGACCCCTCAGAGCCCCCCGCGCTCCCCTCAGGGACCCCCCGCCCGCCGCCGCCGCCGCTTTTATACCCGCTCCGCCGCCGCCCATTGGCCCCCGGCGGCTCGCGCGGCGCGGCCTCCGCCAATGGCGGCGCGCGGGGGTCGCGGCCCCTCGGGGTTTTCCCCCCGCGCCTTCCCCTCCCCGGCGCCATTTCCCGCCCCGCACTCACTGTTGAGCCCCGGCTCGCCCTGCGTCGCCTCGGCCGGCGGGTTGTTGTTGTTGTGGTGCTGGTGCTGCTGCTGCGGAGGCTCCTGAGGGCTGGACATGTCGGCGAGGGGCGAGCGGAGGGGCCGCTGTGGGGGCCGCGGCGGCGACGACAACGACAACAACAACAACAAGAAGCACCAAAGCCCGGGGCTCTCCCGTTCCGGGGCCCGGCCGCTCTCCCGCCCCGCCCCGCCCACAACGCCCCGGCCGCGCCTGCGCGGGCGCCGCTCCCCGCCCGCCCGCCCTCCATGGCGCGACCCGCGGCCGCGCACGTCCCGCGCGTGCGCAGGGCGGGCGCTGAGGGGCGGCGTGAGGGGAGCGGGGGGAACAGCGCCGATAAAAGAGTTATTTGTTGGGTAAAAGCGTTCCCCTCGCCGCCCCGCCACCTCCCCGGGCGCTTCCAGTGTTTAACCGACCCTTCCCAGCGAGGAGTTTCCACAGAAACCCAGCCTGAGCCTCCCCCCGGCTCAGCTTTGAGGCAGTTCCCGCTCCTCGTCCCTCCCGGCCCTGCGTTCTCCTGACGACAGAGAGCCGGCGGGAGTAACTTATTTAATAACGAGTTATTTCCTTTCACACCTTGACGTCACCTCGACTTTAAGGTTTATTTTGGAGGCCTAGGGTCTTTTTGGTGCAACTTAAGTCCCATCTCAAACACATATATATTTTTATACCATAAACTCCTCCCATCAGCAGCCACAACAATATAAGTTGTGTTTTTTAACATTACAGTACCCGCAGCAGGAGTTCAGTAACAGCGACGCTGTCAGACTGAAGCCACGCAGATACAACTCCATTTTTCGCTAAGAAATGCAAACAAATCACTTTATTTCTGTGCCAGAACTATTTCAGCCTAGAGAAAAAGCCTGTATGCCCAAGTGTCACACTCATCCTGTACTAGAATACCCATTTCAAATGGTTTTTTATCTTTATTTCTGCTAATGTTGGACATTTAAAATCCACCTTTTTTAACACCACTGATTTGACTGCATGCCTTGAGTGACAACAAAATACCCTGTGGAAAATCTGGATGTCTCTGGGATGTCACTGGGAGAGGATTAGCCACATGTAGCAAAAAGAAAGCACTAATTGAAGCCATTTAATAAAACGAGCTTACAGGTGGAAGGGCCACAGATACATCCGAGATTGGAGCCCGAACAATGAGCTACTTGTGATTTTTAAATAGAAAAACCCTGCCCAGGTAACCCAATCCCACTTGGCAGGCCTAAAATCACAGGCTAACAGGAGTGTTTGTCACCTCCCCCGTTCAGGAAGCGTTTGCCACAACACTTGTGGCATGAATATTTATCAGTCAAGTGGGACTATTAAAATTGGTGAGTCAGAAATAAATTGATCAAGATTATAGAGTGAGTCACTGCGGAGCCAGAAATAGCATTCACAAGGCCTGGACTTCTCAGCCCTCTGCTTGAACCACTCCACAGTGGTTCCTTGAGGCGTTTAAATGATGTAATTAATGTTTGTAAAGTAATTTGAATCCTTGGATGGAAAATGCTGCGACAATGGCAGGGTTGGAGGGACAGAAAACCACACGTCGATAGAGGAGAAACAATGGCCATAAATTCCTGGGAAGGGCTTTTTGTACTTGAGCGCAATAAAAAGGTTTTTCTTCCAGAAAAAAAAGAAAAATAAAAGCATTTAAGTTGATTGAAATGAAACAAGTATTAAGGCAGTTTATTTAACTGAGCTAAGCTAATCCCACTGTTTTATCCCACGGTTCCAGGGTGTTCTAAATGGTTGGAGAAGCTCTGGCTGCCCCATCCCTGGAAGTGGCCAAGGCCAGGTTGGAACAACCTGGGATAGTGGGAATTGTCCCTGGATAATCCTTAAGGTCCCTTCCCAACCCAAACCATTATAATCACACCATTATTACGTTTATTTCCTTAATTTAGCACTCCTGAATGCCAACCTGTCACAGCCCAGCGGCACCGAGGGCTCTTTGCCCTGCCCACCTGGGCTGGGCTCTCCCTGCCGCGACAAACGCGCCCTGGAAACGCTTTTCTTGGGTTCGATGTTTTCCGGGATTTGACATTTTATGGCAGCGTCGATTCCGGAGGCGACTTCAAGGGACAGCGGCCACACCTCGCGTTTTTCAAGCCTCCACCTCTTTTTGGTAACGTTTTGCCTCCTAGTGGAGATTCCCCGGCACAGAAAACCATCAGAAAAACAAACCAGCCGGTGTTGTTTTTTCCTGCTTGCAAAGGTTGAGATTATTAAAATGTAAGGGTGACATTCATTATGTGGAGAATTCACAGGTTTTATTCTCTCAGCTGGATCCCAGCAGAATCAAACACTGTTTTTTATTCCAGCCACGGCTCGTTTTTACAAACCCAAACCTTTCCACACCGGGTTAAAGAATGTGTTTGCCCTTAGCAAACATCAACAGCTCCAGCCAGCCACAATCATCACACGGCAGCCTCTTTCCCACCTCGACCCACTACACCAATCCTTCCCTCCACAATTCCACGGGAAAGGGCAAAAAGAGGCACCTTTTATTCAGTAAAAGCAGCCCGAGGGGAAGAGCTGAAGAGCAGCACACAGGAAATGATTCCCCAGCTCTGCTGTACCCAAACCCAAGATGACAATAAAAATAATCCTGGAAAAACATCAGTATTCCATCATCCTGCAGCCCTTCCCCAAGAGGGGCAGAACTACAGGTTTCTGCTGGACAGCATTAGCTGGGCTTGAGCCCTTTAGGCTGGTAATAAAAGAAATGGAATTTAAATAATAAATGCTGCAGTCCTGCCTCGGCAGAGCAGGAGGAAAGCAGGTGCTGCTGCATATCCAGTGTTTTCCAGGCATTTTCCAGCAGGGAATGAATGACAAATACAGCTGAGGGCAGTGACCCCAGACCCTCCTGCCTGGGACAGGAACAGGGGGCACCGTTCCACAGGCACAGGGAAGGGCCCAGCCCTTCAGAAACACCTCATGGAGAGGAGAGGGGCAGGGAAGGGGATAAAAAGCATCCTGACAAAGTGTATTCTCTGCAGACTTTTATTAATAAAATAGACGATTTACAGCATGTATCAGTGGACAGTGTGCTTAGAGAAATCTCGAGCTGGGTATTGTGACACCACAGGTGGGAGCTGGGCTTGGGGAGGAGAAATCAAACCTCAGATGACACCCTACCAACAATCCCAAAGCCCTGTCCCAGGCTAAGCCTTAAACCATCCCAGCAGGCCAGCTGAGGTCCCAGAGGAGCGCTGTACTGGAGTATTGCTCTAGGTGAATGCCCCTGGTCACTCTGCACCATCTGCATGTCCCCACACCTCTGGATCTGTGCTAGGAACCATCTCAGTGCATCCTTTGGGACGTGGGACAGCACAGCAGCCTTAGTGCCACGACTCTCACCTTCCCAAACCAGCAGCCTTAAACCCACAACCCTTCACCACACAGGTGAATTTTATCAGCTCTGATGCAAAAGCATCTCCTCACCTCTTCACCCTCCCGCTCAGATAAGGGATAAACCTTGGCCCTGAGCCTGTAAACACCTGTACACATGATTAACGTTACTCAACAGGTTGGTTCCTCAGCTATTAGTAAGTCTGGTTGGAGTAAAATTAGTCACATGCAGCAGGGCCCACGAGTTTATTCCCCCTCTGGGAAACAGCTGCTGTCCCTGGGGCAGTTCAGTTGTTTGTACAAGGCTAAGAGGTGAGGAGAAAGGTAAAACCCTTACAAAGGCTCTTGGTCAGGCATGCATGGTACAAGACAAATACTGTATTTAAGAGAACCAGATTAATAAATAGCAGAGTTTTTACATTTTCAAACCACTGCACAAGGACTTGAGAGAAATTTAAAAGAGTGATTGCGAGAGTAGTCTTGTTAACAACTTCTAACCCAGCCAGAATTTTACAGCAGAAACAGTATCTCAGTTGACCAAATCATAAAGGCATTTTAATAACTACCTCTACCTAAGCCACAGAAATAATTCAATTATAGGTAACTGAAAAGTGAAAATTCTCCCAGTCAAGGTAAGTTCACTACTTCACTGAATATTTCCAGGAGGAATGAGTAAAACCTAAAAGCACAACGAGCAAAAATTCTCTTTTTAAAAAAAAACACCTCATGAGCCTGATAAAGCATCGACATCTAGTTCATCTTTGGATAAGCCTTATGTGCTGAGGAGTTCCACTCTCTCCCCCCACTACCAACACTGATTTCATGCAGCTTCTCCATCCACACGCCAGTGAACATTTCTGGGAGTTGGCCGAGCCAGAAGCGACACTTGCACAAGGTCAAAACCACATTTCCACTCGGTGACAGCAACGAAACACAGCCAAGTGGAGCAGCAGAAGGCAGGGCAGTCATTACCTATGAATCCCACTGGCACACACGAGCTCTGACAGCTCTCGACAAGGCATTCAAGGTACTTTGTCCCAAAACAAGGCATCAAAGGAACCAGGACGAGACGACACGTGAAGACATTCGGTCCCGTAACACACGGACTGGAAAACCTGCAGGTTCTATTCCCCTTCTGATTTAAGCAAAATTTTAAAAATTAAAAAAAAAAAATAAAAAAAAAGAGCCTTGGAGGACGCTGGAATAGGAGGTGAGTGCTCAGATCAAACACCTGACAGCCAGCGGTTGGTGGTGCTGAGATGGAAGTGCTCACAACACACGGGCTGGTGTTCTGGTCGCTCAGGTACCTGTGAAATCCCTCCCCTCTCTTCATTCCCAGGAGAAAGAATTAATACTGGTTAAAATCATTACAAAAAACATCATTTTATTTTCATGCATCTAAGGTAAAACACAGAGTATTTGTATAAAGAGGTAGATTAAAAAAAAAAAAAAAAAAAAGAAAACAGATTCTCCATTCTTTGTCACTTTTATTCAGTAGTTTTGTTTTTTTTTTTCCTTATTTTCTTTTTTTTTTTTTTTTTTGGTGCCAGACATGGCAAGGAGTGATTACAGTCAACTGTTTATTAAAACATTTGTTGCAACACAGACCCCCTTTACCACTGACCCCAAACGGACCCATTTTATGTGCTTTATTTTGTTTTGTTTTTTTTTTTCTATACACCACCACCAAGGCGAGGTGGAGGGGGACGAGGGGGAAGGGGGAGTCCAGGAGGCCAGAAGGAGGAGGAATGCTACAAGCCACAGCAAGAATGAGCTGTATTTAATAAAAAAAGGGGGCCACGAATGATACAGTAATGAGGTTACACAAT